ATTGGATCATCAAGTCGGAATTCATCCACCCATTATCTTGAAACCAAACGATTATACCAGATGGAATTTTTTCACCATGTGGTAATCGTTCACCTTTGAAAATACAAATTGGTGGAAACTTTGTTCTATCTAAATAAAAAAAAATACAGTTGATGGAATATTATTTAAAAAAACAGTATATATATAAAGAATATTATAAAAAAAAAAATTCTACCCGCAGCACATGTTAGAACAACTGTAAATTGATTTTTGTCATTGTTTGTTCCATGAATATGAATCATTTTTTCACCTTTACAATCAATAGTAAAATTTCCAATCATATCGAACCAAACAGGAGTCTTATCCATATTAAAGATGTTAGATAATTTAAAAGACTTCCTTTTTCTAAGACAGATAACAAATTGATAAATTTTTTTCAATAATTCATTAGTTTCTGAAGGAAGCTTTTGTGAAACCTTAGTACGTCGTTGCCAAGACAATTGATATCTTTTCATAAATGCAGATATCCAACATTGTGAAGTTTTAAAATCTTCTGTTGAATTGCTATAAAGAATTACCATATCAGATTCTTTTAAAATATTAAGCATCTCAATACATGCAAGTTCACAAGACACACTCAATCCTTGTTTTCTCTGTTCAATAATCCAATTGTATAACTTTTTTTCCACATTAGGATAAAATTCCTTTCGGCCAGAACCAACTCGTTTGACACTTTGTTTAATTTCAATTCCCTATAGCCTACTTGCTTTTATCCAATAACCAACCATACTACAATCAAGTTTAAAAGCTGCAGCAGCTTTATTTCTACCATTTTCTTTAGCGTAAGCAACAACTTTTTTCTTTTGCTCAATAGAATATGAATTACATTTATGTTCAACACCTTTCTTTTTTGGGGCAGCTTTATTTCTATATTTGTTTTAGAGCAACATAATATGTAACGATATTAAGAATTTTATTTCTTATTTTGTTTTTATCTGTTTATATGTATTAATTACATCATATCATAAAGTTTATCACGATAAAAAAAATCATCTGAAATTAAGCACCCCCTATAACAAAAAAGGGGTGCTTAATTTCGGAACTATACGGTATAAGATCAGCAAAGACGAAGCCTAAATCTTTCAATGGGTATGAAGGTGAGACATAACGAAACCCTAATAAAAGCCAAACCCAGTAAAAAAAAAAATAACACGAATCTTGAATTTCATTGTTGCTGTTAAAAACTAAAAAAAAAAAAAAAAAACTTTCAAAACAAAAAAATAAACGATAATAAAAGAGTTTAAGGATGGCCTCCTTAAAGTTTGAGTTAATGATCGACACCACTGCCGCAGCATATAGATAATCAAGTCCTCTTATCAGGTTAGCATTGTACAGTACAGCAGTATGTAGAAATTTACTTTTGATCAAGAAATTAATCTCTATATAGCTGTGGTAGTGACATCGATTATCAACCCAAGCTTTAGACAGCCGTCTTTGGAGACAATTATGTAATTTGTTGATGTTTAACTCTCCTGATTACATACCGAATTTCTCCCGAATTTCTCCTGACTACATGCTGAACTTTTCCTGATCACATGCCGAATTGCACCAACAATCGACATAAATCGGGACTAATTATTTTATAATTATATACAAATCGGGTTGCTGCATAAATTTGCATCAATCGGGGCTATAGCGAATTTGTAATTTAACAACAATCGGGCATATATCAGTTTAAAATAAGACATATACCCGATTTTTTTTACTTCAACTAGTGCTAATTGGTCTCTAAGTATTTATAAGCTGTTCATAGCTTATTTAGCTCCTTTTTACATTAGTTCATATAATTATTACCTGCCAAAATATACAGATTAGTATAACCAAATTTGGCAGTAAGGGGTGTGAAATATCTCTATATTTAATATCTGTTCAGGAATTATATATTATTATAGTTAGTATTAGAAAATTATAGTAGATTAGTATAATTTGTTTTTTAATGAGATATTTATACTTTATATTAAATAAATTTTCAAAACTTATAAAATTTCTTGTTTGTTTAAATTTTAGAATCTTATTTCAATATAGTTGTGTTGTATTTAGTTGTATATCTGATATTTAATTATCTAATTCAAAATTATCATCACATATTTAATATTTTCTAATTAAGCTTACATACTGGTTTAGTATGACAATATCACGCAGCTACTATGTAAATTAATTTTATAATAATTAGTTATACAGAAATATGATTGGTTGTTTAATTAGACCTGTCTGGCAGACAAATTTAATTGTTCAAGTCTGAGTCTAGTCTAAATCTGTCTGAGTCTGGTCCGAGTAACAACACTGGCTCTAGCCATACCCAAATACTCACAAAATTACATCTAATTATCAGTATTTTCAACAAAACAAATAGCAAATACTATAGGAATAAGCTTGCCTTCATATGCAATCATGCTTATACTAAAATACACACTCTTGTAACTTGACTTTGAGTTACAAGTATTGAAAGTAAACACAGACCTTCAATATTCAACAGCTTTAATCTACAATCACAGGCATAGAAATACACAGGCAAAATTGATCTTCATTATCAACCTCAAATATAGTAATACTTCTAGAGTTCTTACTAAGCAGATTATCCAATAGTGGTTTTATATATTGATAACTCCTTTCTATTTCTTCTTTACCATGTTTTCTATTGACATCTTGACTTCTTCAAGCTTTCATATATAATATCTTAGCATCCACTTCAGAGTGAAGATAATTTATAATATCATTAGATTTAAGTATTAGTATTTTCTCAGCTAATAGTATAGTAAACTTCACAAGATATGATCTACATACTTTAATGTTTCTAAAAAAGTAACAATTTTGATCATGATTAATTAGCTTTATACTATAAATAAACCTATCTTTATGTTTGTTGGCAGAAACAGTAAATATGCATTTATTGTTTTTATTTGTAAAACAATTAACATATAGTTTGTTAGGCTTATTTGTCCTAAACTTATAAGGTAAAAAGGTTTTAACAGAATAGTTATCTAGAGCTAAGCAAACACTTTTCATATCAGTAAATGTCATTCCAAGTTTTAGTGTTGTACTTGATATAGTTTGTTATAACAATATGAAATTTTTTATAAATTAAAGAAATTTATTGTATTTATAAAGTCAAAAACACTTCTTATTTATGATTTATGATTACTAATTTACAACCTATTATTACATTTATCAATAATTACATTTTTTATATATCTAATAATATAAATATATACTTGAATAAGCTTCATGTGGTTTGCTTTTTTTAAAAGCTTATATATAATATTTTTCAAAAATCAGGCTTTTATACATAATTATTTTTAATTTGGGCCTTTATCTATAAGTATTTTTATTTTCAGGCCCTTATTTGTAAATTCCTCTAATTTCTATTACTTTTTTTCTATATTGATTTCTCTAGTTAGTCTATATTCACTTTTTCTGGGTTCTGAAACCTTAATGATATCTTCTTTTAAGAATAAACTGAACAATGAGATGAAGTTATCCTTTTGCTTGATTATTATCTTGGAAATTACACCTATGATTCTCAACTAATTAATATTTGCTACATGCTTTTTGTTATCTCTTACTGAGCTTTGGGAGTTTTGGTTTCTACTATCTATGCTTTCTATAAGCTTATTATCTTATTCCTCTTATTTAACTATAATCTGATTACTATTTTTTGCACAATTTGACCTAAAACTTTTTGATTATTTATTGAATGAAAACAACCCACTTTTTCTTCCTCTTATTATCTTCAAGTTGCTCTAGTTTAAGTTTTAAGACCAACTTATTTAAAAATAGTATTTGAAACTCCAGTTTGACTATTCTATCTTTGTTGCTTTTCAAAATTTGATTCTCTAAATTAGCAAACCATTTTGCCTTTTATCTCTTGATTGACAAACTTTTCATTAATCTTACCTCCTGTCAAGTTAGAGCATTTTATCTTTTTATATCAATAGGCTGATTTATAAAAAAGATGTTTTGTGTATTTAAAAATTTAAAAGTTCTTACAAAAGTAGTTTTATCTATGATATCTTTAATTTAAATTCCTTTATTTTCTAAGAGAAGAGAATTATTATCTATTACAAAATTAATCTAAATTTCTTTGGCATGTATTAGAATAAAGTATGCTAAGTTGTCTTTCTAAATCTTCTTGAATATTTTCTTTTCATCATTATTCCAAAGATTACATGTTATATATGTATTATCTCTTGCAGACTTCTAGAAAAATTTATTATTGAATTTAATTAGGTAGTTGTCAAGATATTTCATTTGAAATTGAATTAAGAGTTAAATTATTTATCAATTAGAAGCTGTAATAAAATTTTTTTCTAAGCTTTAAATGAAGTTATTTTTACAACTATCTAATAAAATTCAATAACTTTTTTTATTTTAATTCTATTAATTTATACAATTATTATAAAATGCACCAATAGTGTTCAACACTATATAATTGTTTTTAATAAAATTTAGGGTTAGGGTTAATGGTTTGGGCGAAATTATATTTCTATTTCCGAAATATTTCGGATTTTAATAAGTAGTCCGAAATAATAATCCTAAATTCCGAAATCAAGACGAAAGTCTGATATAAATCCGATAAAAATCCGATATTCCGATAAAAAATCCGATACTCCGATAAAAATCCGATACTCTGATAAAATCTGATATTCCGATAAAAATCTGATATTCCGATAAATCTAACATAAGTCCGATATCATATTTAAGGCAATTGCTAATAAGTTTTTTACTATGGCGAACTAACCATATTTGTATTATAATTAAGTTCACCACGGTTATATATTAGAGAGCGCCATTAATGAATCGAAAAGAACTTTATTTGAGGTCGACTTATAACTTTTATTAATCCTGTACTAATCTGGTACTTTTTTTTTATTAATCTAATGGTTTTTAGCTATCAAACAACAGCGTTCAATAATTTTATCTTCAATAATAATATAGCGAAGTAACTATTTATGTTCAAAGCTATTTATATAATTATATATATCAATGTATAATCAAACTCTTAAGATTTCTTCAATAAAATTGATTTCGTGATAAATATTGTAATTTATCATGCATCTCTAGTATTTCTTAATTATGTATCATGCGTGTATTGTATTTATTAATCATAATAAGTAATAATCAGTTGGGTAATAAGCAATAATGATCAATATTAAACGCCAAACTTTTATTAATCCCGATATTTATAAATTTGTTGGTTAGATGCAAGAAAACATTTACAAACTATATTAGTTTAACATTGCATTGGCCTCTCTTTCAGGATCCCAATCCTCCTCATCATTTTCTATATTATTATCCCGAACAATAATATTTTCCTCATCAGGAAATTCAAAATTAGTATCAACGATTAATTCACCTAGATCATTTGTGAAATCAATCGCATCAAGATTCAAGATTTCCTCGATTTTTAATACTTCTAGCGGTATGATAGTATCCTCCGTTTCTTCGTTAGTAGGTTCTTCATTCGCTGGTCTTTCTTCATTCCCCGGTCTTTTTTCATTCCCCGGTCTTCCGTCATTCGCTGGTCTTTCTTCATTCGCTGATCTTCCTTCATTCACTGGTCTTTCTTCATTAAGATGTTCATAATCATCATCATCATCATAAAAATTTATATTAGACAATACTTCATATAAATTTTCAGCATTAGAAGAAAAATATGGTAGCTCATTCTTCGAATTTGCAAGATAAAAAGCAGAAAGCTTTTGCATATTTTCAATTTTGTCTAAAGAAAGACGCGTACGACGTTTTCCATAATACCACCCTAATGTAGACCAGATTCTTTCGCACCCGGCCGCATGTGGTGTAATAGAAAATAGCATATGAGCTAATTGACAAATATGATCCTCATCTTTTAAAAAACAATCCTCCAATGACATCCACCAAACTAAAGGAGATTCACTATCGTCGAATGGTATATCGAATGGTGCCATATGATGTCGATAGCTTCTCATTTGAGACATCAGCATTTTTCTTTCTTTGAGTTTCTTACCCATTTTTTCATAGAAACCATCGGCCGCCAAAAGAATACGCCGGAACGTTCCTCTTGCCCATACATCTGTATTAAGATAAAATTTAGTAAAATGTAAATCAATTAAATTTAAATTTAAAAATAAATAATTTACCAGTGTATCCAGGATGTAAAAAAAAGTATAAGATATATGCATCATCGTCAAACTCTGCAAATCTTCTATTAAAAACTGTAATTGCTTGTTGACGAAAACTACAATAATCATTCTCCGGAAGTCTCCTAATTGCTGCTCCCAAACAAACTAGACCAACGAAGCAATCAGCTAGTGAACAATTTTGTGATTCAAGAATTGATATGGCTAGCTTAATAGGGCGAAGTACAAATGCTAATGCATTTAAATCGTCAAAAAATGCTCTTGTGCGTAGTACTGACTGCACTGAAACATTTACATTATCACTATTACGAATCTAAAATAATAACTTATTAAATTAAAATTTAACAAAAAAAAGTATTATATTATTGTATTGTTCAACTTACTATTTCTAGAGGCACTTTATGTCTTATAATTGAAAATACGCAATCATACATAGTATGCCAACGGGTATCCACCCACCGCTTAAGTCCTCCTCCTTCAACCAAATTTTCTTCGGCTAGAGTTTTAAGTGTGCTTCCTATAATTAAAATATTTTAATAATATATTTAATCATATTATTAATAATAAAAAATATCTTAAATTACAGACCTGCAAGGTGGTTTCTTTTAAAATAGCTAACCACAGTATTACAGCGCGTAAGCATGCGATTTGCAAATGGGATCTTACAAATATCCCTTGAAATAAGGTTGACAGCATGCGAAATACATCGAAGATTCAAAATATTTGGGTATTGTTCTGCAATGATACGACACGCAGCTTTAATATTAGCACCCGAATCCGTTACGATAGCCAAAAATTTTTCGGGTCCAATTTTTTCTAAAACATTGGTGATTTCTTCTGCTAAAAGTTCTTGGGTATGTCTCTCATTAGACAAATTTCTAAGACACCACAGATATTGACAACGATCCGGAGTATATACAACAAAGTTCCAAATAGAATCGTTAGAAGGATTGCTCCAACCATCACACGCTAATAAATAAAAAGTTTTTAGTTAAAAGCTTTAGCATTAGCCATAATAATTATAAATAAATAATTGTATATTTATTACCTATAGTTAGATTTCTTGAACTATTTAATTTCTTAATAATCCCCTGATTAGCAAACGCTGTTTCTTGTGCCAAGTAACGACCAGAAAGGACATCTTTAGACGGAGGTTCATACGCTGGACGTAGTGTTTTTAATAATTCGATAAAAAACGGGTTCTCAATAATGTGAAATGGGATTCCACAAACAACAAAAGCTTTCACCAGTGCTCTGTTTATATCTTTAATACGTTCTGGCATCAATTTTGTACTTTCGATAAAATCTGAAAGTTGTGCTTGATTTGACTGATTGCCAAGTTTTCGTTTCTTTGATTTT